AGAGAGAGAGAGAGAGAGAGAGAGAGAGAGAGAGAGAGAGAGAGAGAGAGAAACGCCGGGCGGTGGTGGGGCACGCCTTTAGTCCCAGCACTTGGGAGGCAGAGGCAGGTGGATTTCTGAGTTCGAGGCCAGCCTGTCTACAGAGTGAGTTCCAGGACAGCCAGGGCTACACAGAGAAACCCCATCTCGAAAAACCAAAAAAAAAAAAAAAAGAAAGAAAGAAACTAAGACAACAAACACAAACAAACAAACAAACAAACAAACAAGGATGCTGTGTGTTTGTGCGTGCCGGCTAGCAAATGAAGCTCATCTCTACTAGGGGGCAGAGCAGATCGTGTAACTCAGAGCCAGAGCCCTAGAGCACTCATCATTACAAGAGCTGAGACATGTATCCAGCTTCCATGGGTCACTAGTCAAAGCTGTTCCTTACTGAGAGGAGATGGGCAAGACAGGACCAGCCTTGCTCCCCTAAACTTGGTGACTACCACCATACCCTCCTAGCATATAAATCCAATTTCTAGATAACCCAACCTGTAGAGTGACAATATTATTTTCTGCAAATCCCTCTTACTGGGCAGTGGTGGCACACGCCTTTCATCCCAGCTCTTGGGAGACAGAGGCAGTGAGTTCAAAGCCATCCTGGTCTACAGAGTGAGTTCCAGAACATCCAGGGCTACACAGAGAAACCCTGTGTCAAAAAGCAAAAAGAAAGGAAAGAAGAAAGGAAGGAAGGAAGGAAAGAAGGAAGGAAGGAAAAGAAAATCCTTCTTACCTTCAGAAACTGAACCTTTGCCAGTCCTTGCAACCAAATTAATAATATACCTAGAAATCACTTAAATTTATGTATTCAATCTGTTTCCCTACTCTCTTTATATATATCCAGCCTTCTAAACTCGCCTTTAAGATAACAATGTAACCAACCTTATACGCCTTGAAGTCAGCTTTTAAAACATAAACTAAATGCATGGCTTTATTGTATGTGAGTACACTGTCGCCCTCTTCAGACACACCAGAAGAGGGCACTGGATCCCATTATAAATGGTTGTGAGCCACCATGTGGTTGCTAGAAATTGAACTCAGGGCCTCTGGAAAAACAGTCAGTGCTCTTAACCGCTAAGCCATCTCTCCAGCCCCTAAATGCATTGCTTTAATCTTAAACTACAATTCTTCCATGTCCCTGACCCAGAATAATGTGTGTGCCTGTGTGCTGTGGTAATCATTTGCTGAAAGCAGCCAACAGGTTGAAAGGAATCTTAAACAAAATAAATAAATAAAATAAATTACAAGGGGCTAGAGAGATGGCTCAGTGGTTAAGAGTACTGCCTGCTCTTCTAGAGGTCCTGAGTTCAATTCCCAGCAACCACATGGTAGTTCTCAACCACCTATAATGGGTTCTGGTGCCTTCTTCTGGTACACAGGTATACATGCAGATAAAGCACTCATATACATAAAATTAATAAAAAAAATTTAAAAACCATAAATTTCAAAAAAGTAAATTAGTAAATATAAAACAAAGTAACAATAGCAAAACAAAATAACAAAGTATGAGAAGCAACATGTGGATTTATGTTGAGAACATCTGTTTGTGGGTCACCTTCTTTCCTTCTAAAACTTTTAAAAAAGAAGAATTCTTAATTCCTTTACCATATTCTCTTTTCTGTGCTGTGTTAAATAACTAGCTGTTTATTTATAAATGCTGTTAGGGACAGACAACAAGGACAGACAGACATCAGATACAGACAAATTACAGACAACAAACTACAGACAAATGGAGAACATTTCAAAGAACAAAGAGCTTCCTCTTTATTCTTTGATGAGATACCAATGCAGCCTTTGCTCTAAGAAAGGAAAATGAATGGAGCCTCATTTCAGAGATGTTAAAATGTAGGACAACAGATTACAGAGATGTAAACTGTAGGACAACAGATTAAATGTAGTTGTTTACTCTGTTTCTAATCTGAGCCACCAAGAAAGACTTCTGGTGACCTCTCTTACCCAAAAGAGGCCATGATTAAGCAGTCGGTCTCAATGGGCCTGGGCACTGATGGCAAACGGCAAATGGGTCACCCCTAGAAACTAGGCAGGCTGACTTGCTCAGCTCTTGGTCAGTCTTTCTGCCCATTTTGGCTGTTGAGGAATGGTCAGAAGAGTGTCACAGGGCAGGAGAGCTGATGTGCACCTTTAATCTCAGTGCTCAGAGGCAGAAGCAGGCTGATCTGAGTTCCAGGCCAGCCAGATCCACAAAGTGAGATCATTCTCAAACAAATAGAAAAAGGAGTCTCTACCAACAAGTGAAAGGACAGCGGGGGTTGTGGGGGGAGGAAGAGAACGTGTCTTCAGCTGCCACAGTGCCTCTGAAGCAGTTCCCCTTCCAAAGCATGTGCCAGCATCTCCACAGTGTCTGCAGTCACACACCTGAGCCCCTGAAGGGGAGACAGTCTCTCTTCTGCACTGAGGAAAGAGCTCAGCGAAGACTTTCTTAAGTGAAAGAGAGAGAGTGAGGCGAGCATACCTGGTCTTTCAGTGGGAGCTGCTGCTCCTGAACCCTGTGAAAAAATGAAACGGCTGCTTTAAAAGCCTGAAGCTACAAAGGCAGAGATGACCAATCACACACACACTGCCCGATAAGCCGGAATGCCATGGGTTTTCAGATTTAGGGTTTGGGGAAGAAAATTTTTTGGTTGTTTAGATGCATTATTCAGTTTGTTGATTTTTATTGTGGGTTTTTTTTTTCATTGTTGTCTGTTTTTGTTTTTCCCTTTGGGTTTTTCAAGACAGGATTCCCTGTGTAGCCCTGGCTAACCTGAAACTCACTCTGTAGACCAGGCTGGCCTCAAACTCAGCCATCTGCCTGCCTCAGCCACCACCACTCCCAGGCTTATCCTATTAATCTGCATACCTAAAACACTGAAATACTAAAAGCTGTTATCAAGTACTCAGCCAATCTATACCTCAAAGAGGTCACTGCACTTTCTGTTTGTCCATCCCACACTGTAGGCCAGGCTAGCCTTGAACTCACTATAGAGCCCAGGCTGGAGCAATCCTCTTACCCTAGTCTCTCTAGTGCTGAGGTTATTATGTCTGCCACCATGCTCAGCTGATGCACTTCTAAGTCAGAATAAGAGAAAAGGATGGAGGCTAGCACCTGAAAAGGCTCAAAGGTCTCAACCACAATGAGCTAAAGCTCTCAGACGGGCTCCAAAGTCTAGCAGGATTTCTCTGGCCAGAATAGAAAGCATGAGGCCATGAGCCTCTCCAGATGCATCTCCTCAATCTGTAATGACCCACTTCCAGCTGCCTAGCTCATAACAAAAAGTGGGAGTTCTCAGATCTACTCAAAGGGGCCTTTCTCCATGCCCCACCTCCTGACCCCGTCCTGAGAGACAACTGATGAAGAATAAAGAAAATTCACACCATATGGAGGGTGGCATGAGACTGGCTCTCACATAGCCCAGGCTAGCCTCAAACTTGCTACCTATTACCAAGCCCAATTTATGTATTACTGAAAATTGAACTCAGGGCTATACGAATGCTAGGTAAGCCCTTTACCATCTGTGTACATTCCCAGTGCTAGAGATGACATTTAAAAAAAGAAAAGAAGAAAACCTTCCATCACCATGTTCATTCTACTAATTAAATTAGTATATTATTTATTATTTTTTTTATGTTTTGAATTTTGAGACAGGGTTTTACTCCGTAGCTCAAGTTAGCCTAGAACCTGTTGTGATTTTTTTCTGCCTCAACTTCCTGAGTACTGGATGCCCCATACTCAACTATATCAGCATACTCATGGTTTTTTTCACTTCTCACACAGTACAAGGAAAAAAACACTTTTAAAATTTTAAGTTTATACATATGGGTGTTTTGCTTGCATGTATGTTTGTGTATTACATGCTTGCTGGATCTCCCAGAAGTAGAGTCTCCATGTGAGGACTGGGAATTGAATCTGGGTTCTCTGGAAGAACAGCTAGTGTTCTTAACCACTGAGCCATCTCTCCAGCCCCAGAAGAAAACTTAAAAAAAATTATATGTATGTATGAGCCTGTATGAGTTGTGTATACCACATGCATGCAAGAGTCAACAAAGAGTAGAAAAGGAAACCAGATCCTCTGGAACTGAGGTTACAGGCAAGATTGTGAGTGCTAGGAACCAAACTTAGGTCCTCTACAAGGGCAGAACCACTGAGAATACAAAACCATATGAGGCTGCTGGGTGTAACTGAAAACTCCATCTTTCATAATGTTGTGGGGAGAACTCTTCATGTAACAGTTGGACTTTTCATGATGAAAGGTATTTATATTTCTGGTTTTACCATGTAATAGGCCATTGTTTAGGTCCCACGAGGGTCTTCAGATGTCTATACTTGATTGCGTTCCCAAGTGAAGTCTGTTGATCCAGGAGATGGTGGCCTATTTCTAGGAACAGACAGAAAGAATACAGTAAGCGCTGACCAAAGCGGAGGCAATTTGGGTTTTGGTTATTGTTTTTGAGATAAGGTCTCATCGAGTTACTTTTGGCTGGTCTGGAGTGTGCTATGTAGAGGAGCACTGGTATCAAAGGCTTGTGCCACCAATGACTAAAGCCAAGGGGATCTTCTAAGAATACACCATAGGAGGCTGACGCTTTTAATTCCATTGCTCAGAGGCAGAGACAGCTGAGTTTGAGGCCAGCCTGGTCTACAGAATTCTAGGACAGCCAGGACTACACAGAAGAAAAAACAAAACAAAACCCTGTCTTGGAAAAAATAAAAAAGAAAGGAAAATAAACCATAGGAGACCAGAAAGAAATTTCTACACTTTAGTAGTTTTTCATGTCAATGGTGAGGATTACCATGTCATTTTGACATCAATACTGCTTACCTTCAGGGAATTATAGTTGAAGTCAGAAGGGGGAAAACTGTAAGGGCTGGAATAGGAAATACTTTATAGAAGTGAGGCCTTGAGGGTGTTGCTATACTCAGAAAATGTTAACAAAGTGCTGAGACCAGGCAAAACATCTAAGGAGCAGCTTTCTGAACAGTGGTGCCTGACACGGGGCATTTAGAGACTGAGGAAACTGCTTGAACCTGCACGGGGTGTGTTCCACTGAATCTGTCATAAACAACTCTGACCCTAGGATGTCTGGATCAAAATCTGAAGCTCTGGGAAATTTTACTTTTTCATGATTTTAGCCTAGCAGGTTAAAAATGAAAAATTATGAACTGTTAGACTCATGACTAAAACTTACAATACCGTTGTCTAAAACTGTTGCTATCATTGAGTCTCTGGGCTGATCTATAATGTCTTTGCAATAGAAAACCTGTGTATAACATCAGAGCCCAGTTGGCCATGCACATGGAGGAGTAACTCGATTACTAACCAAAACTGCCCGCACAGGATCCGCTGAGCCTCCAGAGGGCAGTGTTGCTTTCACAGAAGAAAGACCTCCAAGGTTTCCTGGAGGCTGCTGATGGGAGGTTGTTTGGGGTGCACTTGTCTGTCTTGAGGCAAGTAGGCAAAAAGTAAAACTTCCTTTTTCCTTGTCCTTTTATACAGGCTGCTGCCAGGAGGTGTGACCCAGACTTAGGGTGGATCTTCTCGTCTCAAATGACCCGATTAAGAAAATCGCTAGCAGCCGGGCGATGGTGGCGCACGCCTTTAATCCCAGCACTTGGGAGGCAGAGGCAGGCGGATTTCTGAGTTCAAGGCCAGCCTGGTCTACAGAGTGAGTTCCAGGACAGCCAGGGCTATACAGAGAAACCCTGTCTCGAAAAACCAAAAAAAAAAAAAAAAAAGAAAATCGCTAGCAAGCACTACCCAGCTAGCTAGGGTTTTAGTTGATTCCAGATGCAGTCAAAACGACAACCAAGATTAGTCATCACCTACAAGCTAAACTTAACTATCACCTACAAGCTAAACTATGGTGATAACTTAATTAACACACACAATTTCCACCATGTTTCTGTTGACACTACAGATCTCACAGAGCCTTCCTCTTCCTCTCCCTGGCCTAGAACTGAGTCCTCTGGACTTCAGGCTACAGCTCTGCTAGGCTAGGATACTTTCCTCCCCTCCTCCACCCTCTTAAGACTCCGCTTGAAACCAGCTCTTTGGCTTTTGCTTTGTTCACAGGTACAGAATGCTTCTGTGCTCAGTGCCTCTTTACCTCACTCTCTGGGGGCTCAAGGAAGCAAGCAGATTTGTGGTATTCGCTGACTTAAGGCCCCAGAGCAGAAAACCCCTAAGGTGTTCAGCTAACAGGAAAAGAACAGGTGATAGGTCACCAAGCAGGTAAACTCCCTCCACTTGAAATCAGAACGCATCTCAGTAAATACTAGTTATAACAATCGTTTCAAAAGGCACAAACAGGTGAAATTCTTTACCCCTCTACTCCGCTCCACTCTTGGGAGGCCTGAACCTGGGATTCCGGTTCCCACCACTCTTCCGATCCTGCAAGAAAAGAAGGCGACCTGCCACTCGGTGGAAACTACTTCCTCTAAGCGCCCACCGCCGAGTGTGTGAACTACTCACCGGGTGATGGCCCTGAGAGATGGCAGAGCAAGAGAGGCGGCTGCTCTGCGGGGAACAGGGAGGGACCTCCTGGGAAACGAAACTGAAACTTTGCCTCTCGGGTCTCATGGGCAGGACGCGCCCTTACTCTGTCCTGGCTGTGCAGCGCCCCTGAGCCCCGTGCGAGCCAGACACCGACAGCCATGGCCTCCAGTCCCGACCCGCCGTCCCCGCTACTCGTACGGCTGCGGGAGTCCATCCCCCGGGCGCACAGGAAGCTAGAGATATACTTCCAGAGCCGGGCCTCGGGAGGCGGGGAGTGCTCGGTCCAGCCCGTGGGCCCCAGCGCCCCGGACACCTTCGAGGTGAAGTTCCTAAAAAAAGCAGGTGAGCTGGGACAGGGGAAAGAGGGCAAGGCTCGAGTGCAAACGTGGACCCAGCAGGTTTCTAAACCGATCCCTGCATGCATCCGAGGAGAAACCATGGCTCTGCCTGTGGAAGAGTGCCGTCCACAAACTCTCTCCATCCCACAGTGGCGGAGAGAGCCTCAGATGAGTCCAACCTCTGGCCCAGTTCGACTCCATAGACCCAGTTGAGAGAAGAAACAAAGTGTGGGGGTTGGGACTGAGGAGGAAACCAGGAACCTTGTGCACACTAGGCAAGTGCTCCACCACTGATCTAGACTCCAAGCCACTTTACTGTTGTAAATAATGATTCCATTGACCTGGTTTTAAGGATTACAAAAGTAATATATGACCACTTTAAAAAGGAAAGTCAAAGAAAAAATATCTGAAGATAGTTGTTTTTTGTTGTTTTTTTTTTGTTGTTGTTGTTTTGTTTTTGGTTTTGGTTGGTTTTAGAGACAGGGTTTCTCTCTGTATCCTTGGCTGTTCTGGAACTAGCTCTGTAGGCTGACCTCAATTCACAGAGATCCTCCTGCTTCTGCTGGGATTAAAAGGCATGCAGTGCCACACAGCCTCAATGGGAGCATGTTCATGCGTTCTTTTCTGAGAGTCAGCTAATGCATATACAGTCTAAACTTCTCTATTCTTGCTTTTGAGGGGGGGAGTTCCCCACTTAACTATACAATAACTATTATTCAATGTCATTGAAATGAGAGACTCAAAACCATTACAAAACAGTAAGTTCCCCTTCCATCCCTTTGAGACAGGCTCTTGCCATGTACCTACCATTGGTTGGCCTTGAACTCAGGATCACCCTACCTCTACCTCTACCTTAAATTTAAGTGCTAGGATTGTGGGTATATATCAACATGCCCAGACTAGAAACGTGGTTTCTAATAACCAAATTATATGCTACAGTAAAACATAAGGTTTCTACTTTATATTTTTTATTTATTTTTTTATTTTTTTTGGTTTTCAAGACAGGGTTTCTCTGTATAGCCCTGGCTGTTCTGGAACTCACTCTGTAGACCAGGCTGGCTTCGAACTCAGAAATCCACCCGCCTCTGCCTCCCAAGTGCTAGGATTAAAGGTGTGCGCCACCACTGCCCGGCTTGCTTCCTACTTTAGAGTTCTAAATAGATTCTCTCATCAACAGCCTGCTATTCCAGAAGGCCAGGTCCTTTGTATGCATCTGACAAGGGGCCTACAACAGATACCACCAAGGTCCAGCTTGGTAAACCAGTGTGTTTATTGGGCTTACTTAGAGGAATATGGGAAATGACTCAAAGGCAACTGCATCATCAAAGCCCACCTAGCATGGGTGACAGCTCGCAAAGCTGGGAACCTGGAGCACACTGCACAGCCTGCAGGCAGCTCAACAGGTTAGAGAGTATCCTTTCCAGGTGCCTCAGTTGGTCTAAACCTCCAGGGAACTTAGAGTCCGCTTCCTACTGGCAGCTTCTCTGGTGTTGTAAGTTTTCTTAGCAGCTTGCCTTGTCTGAGAGTCTCCTATGCAGATCTTTAATGAGTCTTCATAGCAGCTCTGTTCTTGGAGTCTCAGGAGGACTCTTCCCAACAGTCTTTATGGCTTACTCTGTTAGGGAGGGGGCTATTGAGTCTGGTCAGTTTCAGGGATTTCCTGAAGCTATTTTGAGTTGTTTACCTTCTTGCTGAAGGAACTTCTTTGCTGGGTGGAATGTTTCAATCTTGAGGGAGTTTACCACAGTTCCACACCCTCTGTTCATCCAAATAAACAATACACTCTAACATCTATTTCCATAGTGTTTATCTTGTGCGAAGGATTAAAAATCATCTAGAGAGTCTTAAAAGTCTATGGAAGGGTAGCCAGTGGCGGCACATGCCTTTTTTTTTTTTTTTTGGTTTTTTTTTTTTTTTTTTTTTTTTTTTTTTTTTTTTTTTTTCGAGACAGGGTTTCTCTGTATAGCCCTGGCTGTCCTGGAACTCACTCTGTAGACCAGGCTGGCCTCGAACTCAGAAATCCGCCTGCCTCTGCCTCCCAAGTGCTGGGATTAAAGGCGTGCGCCACCACTGCCCGGCGGCACATGCCTTTAATTACAGCACTCTGGAGACAGAGGCAGGCAGATCTCTGTTAGTTCAAGGCCAGCCTGCTCTATACCAGGAGTTTCAGGACAGCTAGGACTACCTAGGGCCTCAAAAACAAAACAAAAAGGGACCAACGACTGAAAAGCATATGGGAGAACATATGCTTATGGGAAAGTCCTAAGCTTATTAGGGACATCTCTGGAGGTTGCGTCCTCAGACGTTTCTAGAATCGACCTAGAGGGACGCTGAGGTCATCTCTGTAAATTCTCTCATTTCTGTGTGAATGTGTGTTTTTAATGTCTCCCCTCCCTGAAGATAAGGAGAAGGTATTGAAAAAGAGAGATCACCAGATGTTTGTTGATGACAAACCTGTGACCATTGTCCTGGAAACTATTAAAAAGCCAGTAGAGGACCTGAGACCCAGACCTCCGTCCTTGACACAGCCAGCTGAGACACCCAGCTCCAGACCTCCGTCCTTGACACAGCCAGCTGAAACACCCAGCTCCAGACCTCCATCCTTGACAGAGTCTCTGAATGAAGCACTGTGTGATGAGATATATCCCGGAGATGAGCTTGTTTTTAACTCTGTTGACTCAGTCGTCCAAAAGGTGAGTGTTGACAGAGGAGCTGGTGCTCCCCCGGGGTCAGCTTTCCCCTTACCCCTCAGCGTGTTCAGGCAGTGTTGTGCACCGGTAGGAATGATGCTTAGTTGAAGCAGATGGATTAACAGGATCTCAGTCAGCCTGAGTTAGGGAGAAACAGCTTTCTCTGGACATGGTTTTCAGTGAAACATCCCTCTTTATTGGGGTGAACAAGGGCTATATAAACCTGGGGAAGTGGGTAGGAGATTTGGGGATGAGCGTCATCATTGGCTGGGGGCAGAGATGCGGGGAATGCTTTATTTGCATGAAGAGGAATTCCAGGTGTGCTTGCTTGCACCTGGAATTGCTTGTGTCCTTTTAAGGAGACAGGAAGTTTAACCTGTAATCTAGCCATCAGGCTACAAGACTCCCTGGAGCGGTGGAGCTGGGGGTCGTAAGGTTTATGTGCACTGGGACATCCTGGCCCAGACTAAGGAGGAAGCAGTTCTACTCCTGTGGGTCTCTGGACTAGATTTTCAGGGTTTGAACATGGCTGGACCTCACTCTTGCTCCTGACTGGTGCCCTTGGTCTCACAGCTTTCGGGACTCACAAGCTGGCACTGTTCCCACAACTGCTTCTGTGGTCACCACCTCTGCCTTCTTGGTCCAACAACCTTGTCCCGGGGGCTAGCTCCTAGGTAGGCACTGGTCTAGGCTGGACTACAGAGCCGCACAGAGACAAGATTCCTGTCCTCATTCAGCTTGTATTGGATGCACAGACCAGAAGCAACTGAGTAGAAGTATTTCAAAGACTAAGACATTCGAGAATAAGAACAGTTCTATCTCAAAGAGGAGCAGGGTGGGGGCTTGCTAGAGGATGATGGGAAAACTTCATGATGAAGTGACGTTTACCCTGAGGCTTAAATGATGAGAACATATTAGTCATTTTTTTAAAAATGCATTTTCCAAATAGAGACTACTTTCTGAGTGCCAGGCACTATTGTAGGGGCTAGAGACACAGACACATTGGAGATCGCTCTTAGGGCCCTTAGTCACCTAGTAAGGGAAACAAAGAATAGTAAATAGATTTATAATACAATTCTTTCCAGCAACAAGTGCAGGAAGAATAAAGGCAGATACGTGACAGTGGCAGAAACACTCTCATAAATAGGGTGCAAACAGAGAGACAAACAAATCCAAATGATGCTTCATCTAAAGAACAGGAATAAATGAAAAGACCTAGCTGTGTGGTTTTGTAATAGGAACATCCTAGGCTGAGGGAAGCACATGCACAGGCCTCCCAGGAACTGACATCTTGAAAGCAGAAGTTTCACTGAGGCAAGAGTAGAGGGCAGCTCCCAGGGTCTAAACCACCAGCCTGGGAGCACTTAGGGAGGGATCCAGCGCTTCAGTTGAATATGTAAGAGTGGAGGGCCCTGCTGGGCATAGGTGGAAGAAGAGAACCTTGACCTCATGAAGGCTGGAC